TTTTTCTCTGTCACTATGTTATAAAAGTAAAAACAAGCACACCCTGCAAAGAAAATACGTATTACTCACCATCTGCTGTTTTGAGGTGATTATCTTTCTGAAAACTCTTCAGCATCAGGCCCACTTCACCACCCTTGTGTGTGCTAGTAAGCTGTGTGTGCCTCCAGAAACATACACACAGCAACGCAATCCACTCCCCTGCTCCCCTCTCCTTCTTTCTCCCTTCTCCAAGCCAGTATATGGCTGCTGGAGACTGTCCCTTGTGATCTTGTTCTGGACAGGAAGTTCAGGGAAGCTAAGAGAGAGCCAAAACCAGCTGTTTGGAAACACAATGGCTTTATGTGTTTGGGCCAAAATGGAAAGAGATATTTTGCCGGGCAATGTACAGTAAACTCTCAGTTATACAGTATTCAACTTACTATAACTCCCATTTATCCAGAAAACAAATCCCCTGTGTACTCACTGTTATGCTGATCTGCGGCATGCGTTATCCTGGAAATGATCTATGTCTATTTGTTAATTTACTTTTGATTACTGCATTTCAATATTAATATGAAGTCAAAACAGAGTTTATGTTATGATACGGTATAGTATGGGGGTATGGCATTAGTTAGACCTATTTTTAATAGTAACTCTCAAGCAACCAGAAACTACATTCAGCAATCTAGCAATCCCCATGGATGCCGGATAACGGGGAGTTTACTGTATATTTGTTCGAAATGGATTCAGTATTGAAAAAAGTATGCAAGTTTAATATTACTTTAAGCATTTTCTTGTCAAGGAGTGCTTTAATTTATATAATTTAACATTGATCTAACCCTAACCCTACGCCTTAATGCTAACATGAAAGTTAGCACTTCAGTGCCAACATTTTAGCACCCCAAAAAAACAAATGATTTGACTCATTAGGACAGTCAGGTATGAGGGTATAACCAGTGGCGTCACAAGGAGGGTGCGGCCCGCACCCAGGTGAAACCCATGGAGGGATGACACCAAAATGACTGACAGTCATTTTGGTGTCACCCCCTCTGAAAAGTTGGGCACTCGGTCATGGACCGCGAGCCCGACTGTGTCAGGAGAGAGGAGGGGACACGGCGGCATATCTTATCCCGCAGGGTATAACCTGAGCATATCTTGATAATTCAAGCCACTATTTTATACGAACACTTGGGTAGTGCAAGTGTGGCCAACAATATGTGTTGAACTGTAGGTGGGAGGAAGAAAGAGGAAGGAGACAATATATTCTGAAAGAAAGCACAGCATTTCAAAAAATGTTCAAAAAATAATATTTGCTCCCCAAGAATGGATATCGGGGCAACATAATGGGTAAAAGATCGTGAATTTTTCTGGCTCAAATTGGGGGGCTGGTTTGAGAAACATGTCGTGTATGATTGTCTTTAGAATGAAGCAACAGGGTTAGGATTATACTAGGTTAGAAGGTACTTTTAGGATTATACATTAGGAAATGGGAAAAACCAAGTACAGTGGCACCTCGGTTCACGAACGCTTCGGTTCGTGAACAGGAAGTTGGGCAAAATTTTGCTTCTGTTCACAAACTTCGCATTGGGTGACGAACAAAATCGCAGCCATCTTCTCTGCTCTGACACATGGTCGTGGCTTCCTCTAGTCGAAATCGTGGTCTGATCACAGTTTGATTTGGTTTGGAAATGGATATAGACAAACTAGCCTAGAGTGCCAATAGCTGGGGGGGCTGCCAGAGTAGCGTGAGGCACAATCAATCATTTTCTACATTTTCCAAGCAATCTAGTCACCTATAAAACATTCCTGTATCTTCATCATGGAAATACTTTTCTGGATAGAGAGGAAGATTTACAACTTCTGTAAGCTTTTATTGCTATCTTTGTCCCACCTAGATGATTTCCTCATCTTTTGACTGGTGTCAAATGATGTCAATACACCCAATAAAAACACCTTTGTCTGTGGAGAATAGAAGGATCAGAACCTCTGGCAGTGTTTTTGCTGTTTCCCTATGATAATTTTTTTTTTTTTACTTCCTTCCCAATTACTGATACTATCTTGGACATAAAGTGAGTTAGTTCTGCTTAGAATCTGCCTTCCCTGGTTCTTCCTTTCCCTCTCATGAACGTGCTAATGACATTTTTAAACAAATCCTTTCCACTTTTATTACATACCTTGTTTTAGACAGTGTTGTCATCACTGGGTCTATGTGCTCCTCCATGCAATGCAGGTAGAGCATGGCTGGTGGCAGAGGCCAGCAGGGTGCTCCGTGTAGATTCCTGAAAACATCACAGCACCCTGCCTCAATACTCCTTTTAAGAGTTATCAGCCAAAAGTCAGCCAAAATGTCATGATGGGTGGATGTCAGCCTAGAGGAGTGGCTGTTTTAAGTCAGCCTGAATTTGCATTCAGAGCTTCCTAGGACACTGCCGGCTCTGTAGCTTTACTATTTAATTGTTGGTGTACTTTAATTTTTGTATCCATTATCCTGCATACTGGCGAAGCTTGCTGACTATGCACATGTCAATATGTGTGCGGACTAATCTATTGATGTATCTAATACCGATGGATGGAGTAGAGAAGGATTAGAATGCCTGTCAGCAGGCCCATCCCGAGTCTGGGTGACACCCGGAGCGGGGACCGGGTGACACCCCGCTGTGACGTCATCGCGCATGTTTCGGTTGTCTTATTGATGCCTGCCGGCGGCCATCTTGGTGATGGACACCGGCAGAGAGAGGAGGGGACGTTCACCCGGCGGGATGAGGTATGCCGCCGGGTACCCTCCTCTCTCCTGACATTTTTGCGCTCTCGGTCAGTGACTGAGTGCCCGACTTTTCATAGGGGGTGACACCAAAATTACTATCAGTCATTTTGGTGTCACCCGGGTGCGAGCCGCACCCCCCGCACCACCCTTGTGAAGCCACTGCCTGTCAGGCTTTTATTGCAGTCTGTGTCTGCTAGGGGGCTTCACTCTTTCTTTTTTCCCAGGTGACCACAGTCCAGTAATGGAAGTGAGGAAAAGTCACAAATTTTGAGTTGCCACCAGAAATAGAGGAATGGGGCCTCTTGTTCCATTGACAATTAGGCTACACTGTCAAGAATACGAGCTTATAGTGTAAGCTTCCATCCGGGCCACAGGTGCATTCTTGAACGCAGGTGGTCTGCGTTCAGGGATCCACCTACAGCCCCCTATGGGCGCTTACGCTGTCATTTGTAGATGTACCTATATGGCTGCAGCTTTAGCCAGTCTGGCATTGATTTGTACAGATTAACTCTATGCTAATATACAGTGCACGTGTCACTCCCTGCCAGATAAATACACCAGAATGTCCATTGTACGGTCCACTTGTGGCCGTGTGCAAAAGGTCATCTTCCAGATCTTCCAGCTCGTGGTATACTGAGACGCCGCAGCTGAAGCGGATCCCGACAATTATGCTGGGATCCGCCCAGCTGGGTGACTGACAGCTGGCTCTGCCTATCTAGAGGCAGAGCCAGCTGTACCCGCCCCCTCCCCCGTCCCTTCCGCCAGTCAGCGCTGGCGGATCGGAGCGGGGAGGGGGGAATCCAGCCCCTTCCCTGTCACGGCAGAGAGCTGTGACAGGATCGAGAGGTGAGCGAACGCCGGTATGTGTTCGCTCACCTCCCGATCTACTGAGCCGACCTGTGACAGTCTCATTGTCACAGGTCGGCTAGAACTATGAGGTGAGTGAAAAGCACTCACCTCATAGTTCTCCGTTAAGGATAGACCTGACGACCTACCTCGTAAAAACTTGCCAAGAACATTCTATGGAAAAAGTCAATCAAAAGCATTAGACATGAGAGAGTTGGTCCATATATTCACCATTTGATATGATGAACAGATATCACACATATAGGCACTGGTGTATACAGGACATGGCACATATGGCAAATGCCCAGCGGGACACCACTTCGTGGGTCAGTGAAAGTTTGCTGACCCGTGGAGACAGCTGCCTTTTTCACTCTGGTAGGCATCCTGCTGAGCTCCTGGCAACCAGTGACATCGCTGGTTGCCAGGAACTTGGCTGGACGTCACTGGTTGCCAGGAAGTCAGCGGTACGCCGGCCAGAGAGAAAAAGGTTGATTGTATTAAACTTTCACTGACCTACGGAGCAATGTGCCCCCTTCAAGTGGCGCCCAGGGCACTGGTTGCCAGGAGCTGGGCGGGACACCATAGGCACATTTTATAGTAGATCTGACTTTGCATATAGATGTCTCTATGCCAACCATACGTAGGGCAATCTTCTAGAAATTTCAACCATTTCAAACTGCTCTCCATCAGAATACATAAATCAAGCAGACCAAAACAGCCTACCATCATCCCCACCATGTACAAATATACATTTTATTATGGTAAAAGATTGTCTCGATCCATCTGATTGTGCTTGAGATGGAAAGTGGTGGAAACTGCCAAAAAATTGTTCTGTGTGTGGTTGCATTAGAGATTTTGTAGATGGGAACTGACTTTGCACCCATTCACTGATATAATGAAGATCTTTGTAAATAGGGAGTGTGACATGGGAAATGCCTTTTCCCAAAAACTTCCGCGCAAACATGATGCATGATGCACATCTGCCCATGTATCTAAAGATGCTTTAGCTTTGTATGACTTGCTAAGCTGTATGCCTGCACCTGCCATTGGCCATAGGTTTTGCATCATGTCGCATCCTATAAAAGGGGGGAGTGCTCCAAGTCATAGAGGTGAGTAGAAAAAGGGTGGGTCAGTAGGGAAGACAATGTTTTAAGTAGGGAGGGTTTTATATCTTTAAGATCTGTCACAGCCCTTTAAGTCTACCAAGTCAGTGCATTTCACATTGACAAGGGCTCAGAGTCTAGAGTCACTTTGCTACCTCCTTTTCTCTCTCTTTTTTTTTTTTACTTTGTTGACAGCCCTGGCAGGGGCCTTTTGTTACCTCTCCAGCCAATGAAAGCATTTTACGACAGAGAACAGTTGGGATATAAAAAGAAGGAGTCCCTCTGCCTAGTACATGATCTGTGGTTGCCTACCCCTCCCCTATAAAGACCTGCACAAGGCAGCTGTCCTCTTAGCACCAGCAGCAGCAGTCAGCAGCCCACTCCGCTATGCTGTCTCAGCGCTACCCTCTCCTCTTCTGCATGCTTGTCCTGTCTGTGGAGTTCTCCAGAAGCAAAGAGGAGTCAGTGATGGAGAAGACCTCTCTGCAGGTGGAGAGCTCCCTGGCAGCAGAAAGTGAGGAGCAGGACTGTCCGGTGTGCATGTGGAGGAAGCACAGCAAGGAGATGAGGCTGGAGAGCATCAAATCTCAGATCCTGAGCAAACTCAGGCTAAAGGAAGCCCCAAATATCACACGGGAGGTTGTCAACCAGCTGCTGCCAAAGGCACCCCCTCTGCAGCAGATCCTGGATCAGCATGAGTTCCAAGGTGACTCCTTTCAGCATAATGCTTTTGTGGAAGAGGATGAGTATCATGCCACCACGGAGACTGTCATCAGCATGGCACAGGAGAGTGAGTACCTCTTCCCTCTATTTCATGCAGAGTGACTGCTTGCTTGGATGTCACTCTTTATGTGACTGCTTGTCATGGCTAGCAAACATACACGTGCTTTGGAACCCACGTGTGACAGCTAACCATTGTGATGCTGCATGGCATGACTGGCACAAAGTGCTCCATAGGTTGTGATCTGCTAGATGTGCCACTGCGGCGTCTTAGGCAATGCTTTGTGTTTCTGAAGTTATAGTGGAGCTCAAACCTAAATGGGTGTTTTTAGTTTCGGACAGACCAGGAAAGGGTTAGGACCTCTGTCGGGGTTTGCCTGTGTCTCTACTAGGGAGACTCACCCTATCAGTCCTGGTCACTATTGTCACCACGGCTGAAAGTGAGGGAAAAGGTTGTGTATCAGACAGCAATTGAGGTGAGATCTTTCAGTGGGGATAGCTAACAGAGGATCTACCTTTGGAGATTTCCTTTTACCTCCAAAAAAAGAAGTTGATGAGAATCTCACCAAAAGACAGCAAATAAAAAAATAAAAAAAACACAGGGGTTGTAACCATTTCCTTCTCTGTCCATAACTACAAAAATTGTGACTTTCTCATTTAGGACAATGGGTGCATAGGTTATCCCTTTTACAGTGGAGAGTGAAAGAGCTGAGAATTTACACAATCAGCTTTACTTTTCCATTGGAGCTTGCTGCAGTGAGCATGATTATTTGTTGTATATTGTATCTGTGAAATGATAATTGAGCATGGTTTTACTATTGTTCTTTGTTAGCCTGTGGGTAGAAATAGCTTGCTGTGGTGGGTGAATTTAGATTCCTGTACAGAATAAAGTATTGATAAACTTTATTCCATGGGGTATGCATTGCTTCATTTGTAAGGCAGGTTTAGTATGAAGTTGTGAATATGATTGTGTGCAGTGTTCAGACAGCAGTGTCATGTAATGTGATTTGGGGATGTACTGTGCCATTAGCATTTCAGAGAAATGCAATATCAGGAGCATTGCTGATTACCTGGGCACAGAACTTGTTGCTGAGCTGTCCTGTAACACAATGTTGCAAGTGGCTGTTCTAAGTTATGATTCTTATGTTTGATGTGTCAACTAGACTATTTCATATGATCACAGTTGTATTAATAGTATGCACATTACATGGATGTATGCATTTATGCATATATATTTTATTAAAATATATGACTGGGCTTATTTGAGAGCAACATGGAGTAAGGGTGGTTTGTAAAGTGCAGTAGCTCCCAACAACCAATCAGATGCTATGTTTTTGGTACAATGAGTTGCTATGGGCAAATGCACTTAGCAGCTGTTCTTTCTGATATATGCTGACAAGGGTTTATTTAACTCAAGTGTGGACAAATTAATATAGAATTCAAAAGCCAGTCTGCCCAATCCAAGAAAGAGCAGGATTTTATTTTGTGTGCCAGTTCCGTTGACAACAGCTAGAGAAAACGTAGACAGTTAGGTGCCAACTGTAATTTTTAAGGACAACCTGATATAACTAGGTAGTCGAGGGTTATGGTGAATACAATCACCTATAGCAATCATCCTACACCTCCCAGCAATTTAGTCCTCTTAAAGCTTTGAAAAACGAATTGGTTGCTATGGGTTACTGCATTTTTTATGTTGCTTTTTGCCTGATTGAATAAGCCTGGTAGTAGCCGTTTAGCCCCAGCTGTCAGCTGTACCGCTCTACACTTTGCACAAATGACTTAACAAGTCAGTTATTAACCCTGCACCTCTCATTAGCAGCATGCTCCTTGTGGCAAAGCAGCGGGTCATCACTCATCTTGCAAGAGAAATAAAGGGAGCGTCAAACAAGGGGTTACCTGCCAGAACATGTTGTGACTTAATGGTTTATTTCCTAAGTGGCAGCAGTAGCTTCAAGTGATCATTGTCCTTGACAGAATGGGTGACATGCCCCACACTCATGTACCTGCATTGTAGTGTTCAACAAGTGAGCTATATTCTCTGTTAACTGGACAAGGTTCCCTCTGCAGCTGGAGCCTTTCACTGCTCATTGCCACAACCTACAGACTGCTGTGTCACTGAATGCTGGCTACACTCTAATCTCCTCTGCAGGGCATGCAGATAGCATTTGGTTTTTGTTGTTAGGAACAATTAGATCATTTTTAAGTAATGTGTTACTTTAAACAATAGTTGTTTCCAGCCTAATGCATGTAACTACCAAAGTCAAACATCCCTTGATGATTATTTATAAATACATGTTCTGTTTAGTGCAACATTTAGAAACTAAAGTACTTGTACCCAATGTATCCTCAAAACAACCATCAGCGTTCCTTTTCTTTTTTCTTTCAAATCCATTATATGTTTGAATCAGAGATACTGTAAATCAAAAAATCTCCAAACTGAGGAATTGGTCTGAAGTCCTGGTCTGAAGCCAAATAAAGAAAGCTGTACTGAGAGCAACGTGGAGGATGTCTTTGCTGGTCTTCTGAAAATGCTCGTTGCCTGGCTTTCTCTGGCTTTATTTTTTCAGGGCTGGACAAATCCAAGGAGCCAGGTCGACAATGCTCCTTAAAAATTACTTTTAAGGTTTTCTCTTGTTATCAATAGAGCTGGCTCCTAAGAAAATCCTGTTGGATCCTGGATTGGACAAACTGGTTACTGAATTCCATCTTCATTTGTCCACCCCTGATTTATATATTTATTTATTATAGGTATTTATCAGCTTTGATCCTTTTGATACTCTGGGCTGTTGCACTTAGCAGCTGTTCTTTGCATATATGAATATGCCTGATGAGGGTTTATTTAACTAGGTAGTAAAAAGGGTTGGCAGTTTGTGAATCATTGTCCTGACACAAGCCCACAATTAGGAAAGTCAGAGTTGTGTAAGAATCCTTAAATTGCATACTTGCTCTGAGCTAATGTTCCAAGTGTATTGAAGCCTTTGGATCACCATGACAGCCCAACAACTAGCATTGTCAGCAGCAGCATTAAGGTCCCCACACACCTTACGATAATCGCGGGAAATCCCGCGATCGTATGGTTATCGTAAGGTGTGTGGAAGCCGTGCGACCTCTACTACTGTAAGGTCGCACGACTTTAAACTTCCGAACATGTTTGAAAACCCGCCGAGCATCGTACGATGTTCGGCGGGTGTATAGCATGTCAGTAAGATAAAAGCCGGACGGGCCGGTGTGCGAAAGCGCACACTGCCCGTTCGGCATTGCGGTCATCGGAAACCCGCCCCCGATCATCGCAAGTACGATCTGCCTATGCAAGATAGGCAGATCGTACGTTTTTTAAGTACCTTACAACCATCGCAAGACAAAAGTCTTGCGATGGTTGTAAGGTGTGTGCCCAGCCTTAGACACCTCTGCTAGGAATCAAGTAAGGATGGGCAAAAAAAACTGAGTCTGATGTAAAAAACACTATTCTAAGATCACAGTCCCTAAAGCAGGGGTAGCAAACCTCCAGCCCTCCAGCTGTGGTGGAACTACAAATCCCAGAGGCATTGCAAGATTCTCACAGCCACAGACATGACTCCCGAAGAGAGATGCATCATGGGATTTGTAGTTTCACCACAGCTGGAGGGCCGGAGGTTTGCTACCCCTGCCCTAAAGTTTCAGCTTGAGGGGAATTTTCTATTTTTTATCTTTCAAATGATGCACTGACCTTGAGCAGTTTAAATATTTTGCTTCCAGATGCATCTTCACAAGTTAGTTACCCTCATATGAAGATGTAATTCTTTCTTGAAATGTTATAGGGTCCATTTAATTTCTTGCTAACATTTGCATATTTCTAACTGAGATCTGCCTTTATTTTTATATGGTTTTTGTTTTCATTTATGATGATCGTTATGGTTATTATTCTTGCTAATTCCTTGCTGTTTATCTGCTTTTATTTTTTGCCCTGGTTCTGTGTTCTCCCTGGCTCATTCTCTCTCGTCTTTTGTTATCCTCAGGTCACTTCTGTTGGTTTTTCCTTTTTTACCATGTGCAGTAATAACAAAGAGTGGCTGTGGTTACCCCCATGGGGTCCTTGTGTTGTTCTTTTCATTGGTTTTGGGAGGAGATGGACAGATCCATTTGGCAGTGTTAAAGGAATGTGACTGGAAGCATTTCTAATCCTCTATGTCGATTCCAACTCATGCTAAAAAGCTGAACATGATAAAGTCCCTCAGCACAATGTGTCTTTGCTGCACGTTTGCTGTGCTGAAATGAGACCCAGTTTGAGTTGTTTCGCTACCAAAACCCAGTTCTTTTAAATGCTGCTTGTATGTTTTGGCCAAACTGTTGTTTGGTGTGTGTGCAATTTAGTAACAACAACTTTGTATTTGTAATGGAAGCCTAGCCAGTACAATACAAAAGTAATGGCACCTGTACCCATTATTTGCTGTATGAAATAGTTGGACATATTCTGTAGTCTGGTTCTTTTCAATTTATTCAATATAACTCTTTAAATGAAAATTGAATTAACTACTTTACATATACTACTTTTATGTTGTGTAGATTGTCACATTATGTACACATTAGGTTCATACCTAACTGCTGTAAAAACTAAATATAGTCATGTTGTATGCAGATGCTTATAACATATGTCTGTTTTCTGAAGAACAAAGCTATTAATATATCTATAATTTAAGGTTAAAAGAAGAAAGCTATGTAACTCATAAAAATGGCTGTACATACCAGAGAGGCATATGGAAGCCCATAGAATGAGTCTTCTAAGAACGTCCACTGATATCAGTCATTATATAATGTCTTTGTCCATGTACAGCAAGTTTTACAAACAGCAGGACCACTATTACTGATTATTAGTCTCAAAGATAGTATATAAATATTAGAGGTGCGCCGGAATGGAAAATTGTGACATTGCGGGCTGTCTCCGCCCCCACACCGCTCTGCCGGACTGTGATAGGAGGCTGAGCGGTGTGGGAGGAAAGACACCGGCCGCTCACAGCGCTCTCCTCCCGCAGCGTTCCGCCGGCTATCACTTTCTCTCCTCCCCGCTGGGACACAGAGCAGCGCCCAGCGGGGAGGAAAGAAAGCAGGGATGCGCCGATGTATCGGCA